TCAACAGGGGGGACCCCATGAAAAAGTGCCAAAAATCAGCATATTTTGGCTCAAAGACCCCCGGGGGTCTTAGAGTTCAGGCAAGACACTATTACAATTCGATGACCAGTACCATGAGACAACTTTTAACGCAATTTAATGTGCCGGCGTAGGTACTAAAAAATTTCGAAAAACGGGAAAAATTGAAAAAAAAATATTAAATGACATTTTTTGGTGTGATGCAGTGGAGTAGGAATTTTGATGTCAACACGAAAAAAGTTCAAAAACATACGGGGAATTCATTTCTGAAAAGTTTTTGACTCTATCTAAAAAACTAAAAATTTTGACTTTTCAACTTTGACGGGTTACTGTAGATCTGAAAGGGGGCGGGGCCAAAACTAAAGTTGTGTTTTTTCATAAGAGGGGTGAGGGTAACCACCACACATAATATCTAAGCTCTGCCATTCGTTTCATACATGTGTGCCCCAGTGATATCGACTCTACCAGAAATTCTCTCTTAAAACTATACGAAATTCCCCATAAAAAAGGGCACCCCCTTTTGAGAATGTATTAATGGCACGCGAAGAATAGCTGAAAAAGCGAGCGTTCCGGGAATTTGAAATTAGGTTTTCTAGAGGGGAGGGATGCGATGTTCTAGAATTAAGAATTATGGAGGCCAAAAAATAATAGAAGAGGGCTTCCTGAAAGGGTGGCTCGGAAATTTGGGCTTCCAATGCTAGTCTTGAAAATTGAAAAAGAAAACAAAGAAAAAAAAGAAATTGACCCCACTCGGAATCGAACCCGGGTTGAAAAATTCAAAAGCAAGAGCGTTAGCCACTACGCCACCGACGCGCAAGAAGGAAGAAGAGGAGAGGGCCTACAGTTTGCGGCGCCCTCTCTCTCTCTCGATAAAAAAATGCAGGTTGCCAGGGAGGTCCTATCAAAAAAGTGCATGCCCTTCTATTACAGGTTCAGATGATTTGGGTTCCTTCACCTTTAGTTTCAGTAATCCTCCCCAAAACCCTCCATTTTTTCATCTATTTCATACATCGGCCAATTTTGCGCACCCCCATCCCAAAAAATAATGACGTGCTAGGTTTTTCGAAAAAGTGACGTGCTAGCGTCCAAAAAAAAAAAAAAGATCCCAACGTTCCTCGAACTTGGGTGTTGCAGTTTGGCGGACGAGCGTCTTCCCTACTGCGCTACTTGCGCATCATTTAGAGTGCCGCTAAGATGTATAACGAAACTGGCTACTGTAGCTAAAAGAGGGGGGCGCCGCAGGCAGCGCGCGCACACTGTAAAATTTATCGATTTTTCAGTAAATTCTGATAGTTTTTTCTCGAGAATGACTGAACCGACTGAGTTCAAATTTTTTTTCTGTCGATAAAATTCGATGCTTGTTCGAATGGGTTAAGAGCGCGTGCTGGAATTTCAGCGTGCGTGCTGCGATTTCGATGTGTAGTTGCAGTACTTCGAAAACGTGGAGCAGTGCAAAAGTACACATGCATTTTTCTCCGCGAAAACGAAATCTTTTTCGATCGGCAAAAAAAGGATTCATATCTACTCAAAATTGTGTACCTTTTTGACATAGTGCGCGTGCACCGAACTCGCTCATTAACTCGTGAAAAATTATCGATTTTTATGCAAATTTACCTCCACACTTCAATCGCGACGGCTCAAAACAAAAATTCCAGCACGCAAACTTTTTTCATATGTTTTACTCATCCTGTTTTATTTTTTGACAACAGTTTCACCAGGAAAATATCGCGTGCTTGCCGAAAAACTGGCTTTTCAACAAACAATGCTTATTTCTACAGTAATATTGTAAATCTTTTGAGGATTACGGTGCCTAATTTGAAATTATTGGTTTTTTTTTCGAAGTTTTGAAGCAGAAATTCCATTGTTTTTTTTAAATTACAAGTTATAAGTAAAATAATTTAAAAATTGTATAATAATAGAAAAAAATCACAAACATTGAAAAATTTTTCAAACATTTTTTGACGCGCTAGTTTTGCTCAAAAATTTTGACGTGCTGGAGTACACGAAATGGCCGATGTATGATCTATTTCAGGCAAAACTAATGGAGGCTCTGTAAATGTTAATATCCCTCCTAATCTTGTTGACCAAAAATCGTATTATTCTTCTTTTACTCCTATAAAAAACAGCTTTTGTACACGTACACGGACTACAAAACGGCTCCCTGACCTTTTGTGTTTTGAGTTGTTTGCTCCCTTTGAGCAAGTCGGTGGGGAGGACACAAAAAATAGTGCAAAATCATAAAAGACATTTGAAGAAAGAGAAGGAAGAGAGAGAGAGAGAGAAAGGCTTTACACTACTGGTGGTCGTTTTTGTTTACACTGAAAGGTTGAGTTAAGTTGAGGATGAGATGGAGAAACAATTGATAAACTCAAAAAGCTTTTAGCAAAAAAAGATGAATGGGTTTTTTGCAAAGAGTATCATGTGCCTCGAAGTGCCTGGTGCACTTCTATTACAAGAACTGTAGTTTGTGCCCAAATGGAAAAATCTAGAAGCGGTTCCTCCGGATAAACAAGAAATATGCTGAAAAAACTGAAAAAAGATGTGCATCTAATACTAATAATACGATTTTTGGTCAACAAGATCAGGTGGGCATTAAAATTTTCAGAGTTATTAGTTTGAGTGGAAATATAATTTTTTTTTTTTTTGGGAAAAAGTAATAGGGATTATTCTTATCCAAGGTTAATGGATCGAAAATCGTTAGAAACTTCTCATAAAAAGGGCATGGAACCTACTGATATGAGGTCTTTTTCTTCAATTTTGAGCTGTGTATCGTGTTGTTTACTATTTCTCTCTAGTTAGCTGCACTAAGGCATGTGCCCTAAGATTGAAGCTTCATATCTCGGTTCCCAGGACAGCTAGAGAAAAACTTTCAACAAACAAAATGCTGAAAATTACATGGTTAACAATTTGTTAGTTTACCGTTT